GCTTCCTTGGTACTGCAATAAGCACATCTTCTTCGTGTTTATTATGTACGCACTGTGAGAAATGAAGAGTAAAAGTTTGAAAGATTGCGAATACTCTCGAAGAAGCGAAAGATCAGAGAGAAAAGAAGAAAATCATGACGTCACTGTCCTCAACGGCGAGAATCAAGGATAATGGAAACGAACTAATGTGAGTGTAGGAAAGAAAGAAACGAAAAGTATAACGAGATACTTAGGGCATACCAAAAGTTCGTAGAATGATACCTTAATACCTTATGATAAGCTTTAAGTAGCTTTCTTTCTATATAGTCTGAACGACTCAGAAGAGTGTGATTTTTTTGACTGTATACATTTTATTTTGATAAATAACAATAAAAAGATAACGCAATCACAAAAGATCGCTTGCTCTTCTCAATTAATTAAAAACGTGATAATATTTCTGAATAATCAGTATGTGGTTCAATACAGAACGTAACAGAAGAAGTCTGTATTGATACAGGTAATCTTGGCGGTCCGCTCAATATGCACCGTCACCCCACCCTCACCGTCACCAACCCTCACGCCACCCTCACACCCCGCAGTGTGCATCCAGACGAGCTTTTGGTGGAAACTTGAAAGTTGACTTTTCAGTGATCCAAATAGTGATTAATATACTCTGAACTATGTTCTATTCGATGGTAAACAAAAAAATTTTCCTGCGACTACAGTCGCTTTGGTAAAAGTTCCGTTCGGTCTGCGAAATGTTAGTGTCGTACCTGACAATCGCAGTTGACGTCTTTCGATGAGCTTGCCAAGTGCACCTTGTATTGTCGTACTGAGTGAACTCGGTTTCGGTGTTGGTGATGAAATCAATCTTCCTTGTAGAAGAGCGGTGGCAAAAAATCAGCGTAGACTCAATATTGGCGCTCGGTCTGCTGGATTTTATTCAGTATAACATTCGCGATAACATGCTGCAGCTAGACATCGCTGTCGTATTATGACAATTGTTACCCTCACATTCACTGACACAATGTAAGAAGAAAACGTTCGCGTCCGTATGACAAGTTGTTCGAGTTCGGTATAGGCTGTATCTTCAAGTTCACCAGTAGAACCATTGATCGAATTTCGACTCCACAAATCACTTTCGTGTTGAAGTCCGTATAAATTAAGAATTTCAAGCATTTCATGCCGATAGGCATAAGCAAGTTTCCAATCATACCAAGAATACGCTCAGATTCGTCCAATTTTAAATTAGCATTCTCCATGAAATCCGGTGGTTCATTATTCAATGTTCTGCTCAATTTGCCGATAGCAACTTCGGTCAATGGGTGTTGTCCAGTTTTTCCACTATCGACCTCTTGACTGTAACTTTTTGGGTCCTTCGGTTTATTAAACGGCAAATACAGCGCTAGTTCACACAAGAACAGCACTATAGGAAGCCAGAATCGGGAAGTGGAAAATTTGCGAAAAGCAACTACGTATTTTAGAAGCATGTCGGCCGCTTAAAAATTTTAATTTGTCTTTCGGCCGCGCCTCAGTCGATCGGCTTACATCTCTAGATAGAATCATTAGCATGCTTATTGTTATTCTTTTATTTTTTAATCTTGTTGCTTTACAAATAAACACACGCACACAATTATACTTGATTTGCTTCGTTTATTCGCCCATCAAAACGTTGTTGATACATATGTAACTTGTTGATAGCATCTTTCAATGTTTCGATATGTATATTCAGTGATAATGTTTGCACTCGATCCATTGTTGAAACAGTCAATTTCATCTCATCACTTTCAAATTTAAAAATTTCTAATCTATGAAGGACATTATTAATCTGAATAGCTGCTTCTTTTGTAAACGTTGGAAATTGATTTAATATTTGAAGATTTCGTTGATGTTTAACTTTATTAATGTCTCCTTCACCAATTGTCTTTCGATAAAGTTTAGCCATGAGTGAGGTATGTTCAATCTGATTTAATTTGCCAGTATCAATTCCATGAAATTTTGATGCAATAATGTTCAATTCATCGACTTTTTTATCAAGATTTTCTGCAACATAAATTGAAGTATTATTTCTCTACATCAGCATTTCTCTTAGATAAAACTCCTTTCTGAGAATCGAAGGAATGCAAAAAAACCGTTTCTTGGCCATCAACATGCTGCAAGATCATGGTTTTTCACTCATTATACCTTAGAACAAAATCCTGCACTTTGACGAAAGTTCGACGACTCCGAAAAGCGGCACCGAGACCGAGTTCTTTTAGCACTGACAACTGAACTAGACTCATCTTTTTTCCGCATTTTTACTGTCCGGACTCGGTCTACTCTACCTGCATTGTAAAAAATTGATGGTTTGTGTTAATGAAAAAATACATACCTAACATTGAATTTACACTTTCTGCATTGCGTATAGGTTTCCAAAAGCCGTGATTTTTTTTGAGTTTTCAAAAATGAATTCTAAAACTTCTAAGGTAGCATATCTTGTCGTCCTTGAAATTCTCTATCAGATGAGTTATTGCTTGAATTCTATTGCTAAGTCGTTGTTTTACAAATGGGACTTTAAGCTAGTAGAGTAGGCTAAATGAACGTTAATTAACCCCCCCTCCCCATAATGGAAGCCTCCGGGGCTTCTAAACTGTCCAAGTGTTCAAAATTTTTAAGGGGGGCTTGTATTATGAAGGGGCTACTATTACGACTTTCGTACAAAAATTTTCAGAAAAAAAAGGAGATTTTGAATTTCGATGCTCTTGCCTTTCTAATCACGGTAAT